CTCCTCCCTCTTCCCCGCGCTGTGCACTCCTCCCTCTTCCCCGCGCTGTGCACTCCTCCCTCTTCCCCGCGCTGTGCACTCCTCTCTCTACTCCCCTCCTCCTTCCCCGCGCTGTGCACTCCTCTCCTCACCCCCCTGCACTGTGTACTCCTCTCCTCACCCCCCTGCACTGTGTACTCATCTCCTTCTCTCTGTTTCCCAGCTCAGGTCTCGGGATCCTGCCAGCAGAGGAGACAGGTACATGCTGGTCACTCTGGAGGAGCCTCCATTTGGGATCAAGGTAAAAGTTCTCTGCGCTGCACCCGCCGCTCGCTCTGCATTGGTGCCCCGCTCAGCCCCTGGCATGGAGCTGTGCTTGGTTAGCACACAGATGCATTTAGGAGCTGTCAGAAACATGGCTGACCCCCTCCTCCTCCCCAATCTAGCTCAGCAGCAATGAACTGAACACAATGCTGGAGAGTTCACTGGGCCTGACTTCTTGTAAGATTCTGACACCAACAGCTGGCCGGCCTTCTTTCCCAAATACAACTGTCACTTCATCTGTATAATATCTCCTTTTTATGTAGTTGGTGTTCACATTCTATTGTATAATGACACATCATCAGCTGGTAACTAAGACACACCATATGGTGGAAATGATGATCACACTTCTGAGAGGAGGGACAGATATATGGCATGATCTGGCCACCAGCACGCATGCGTATGGCACGATCTGGCCACCAGCACGTATGCGTATGGCGCAATCTGGCCACCAGCACACATGAGTACGGCACGGTCTGGCCACCAGCACACATGAGTACGGCACGGTCTGGCCACCGGCACGAATGAGTGCTGCACGGTCTGACCACCAGCACGATCTGACCACCACCAACACGCACGCATGCGTACGGCACAATCTGACCACCACCAACAACACGCACAGGCATACGTACAGCACGATCTGACCACGAACACAGACACGCATACGTATAGCATGATCTGACTACAGCACATGCACATACATAAACACCGGAGCAGGGCCTATAGGATGGAGGAGTGGGCATAGACCGGAGCAGGGCCTGTAGGATGGCGCAGTGGGCATAGACCGGAGCAGGGCCTGTAGGATGGCGCAGTGGGCATAGACCGGAGCAGGGCCTGTAGGATGCAGCAGTGGGCATAGACTGGAGCAGGGCCTGTAGGATGGAGCAGTGGGCATAGACCGGAGCAGGGCTTGTAGGATGGAGCAGTGGGCATAGACCGGAGCAAGGCCTGTAGGATTGAGCAGTGGGCATAGACCAGAGCAGGGCTTGTATGATGGAGCAGTGGGCATAGACCGGAGCAGGGCCTGTAGGATGGCGCAGTGGGCATAGACTGGAGCAGGGCCTGTAGGATGGCGCAGTGGGCATAGACTGGAGCAGGGCCTGTAGGATGGCGCAGTGGGCATAGACTGGAGCAGGGCCTGTAGGATGGCGCAGTGGGCATAGACTGGAGCAGGGCCTGTAGGATGGCGCAGTGGGCATAGACTGGAGCAGGGCCTGTAGGATGGCGCAGTGGGCATAGACTGGAGCAGGGCCTGTAGGATGGCGCAGTGGGCATAGACTGGAGCAGGGCCTGTAGGATGGCGCAGTGGGCATAGACTGGAGCAGGGCCTGTAGGATGGCGCAGTGGGCATAGACTGGAGCAGGGCCTGTAGGATGGCGCAGTGGGCATAGACTGGAGCAGGGCCTGTAGGATGGCGCAGTGGGCATAGACTGGAGCAGGGCCTGTAGGATGGCGCAGTGGGCATAGACTGGAGCAGGGCCTGTAGGATGGCGCAGTGGGCATAGACCGGAGCAGGGCTTGTAGGATGGAGCAGTGGGCATAGACCGGAGCAGGGGGTATATTTTTATATTTGGACAGTGCATTGGCAGTTCTTAGTCATGAGGTCAGAGAGTCAAGACCTGCCGACAGAGCAAAACTAAATTCACCAACTGCACACATGAGTTTTTATGGCTAATAAAGGAGATATTGGGTATGTTGTGGGGTCTACCATCAGGCAGGACATTTACTTTAAAGCATGTCTATGGTGGAAAATAAAACTCCCCTTGCAATGTGGCTACCCTGCACGGCAAGGGTTCACACATGTGAAGGACTTTACCTGATCCCCAGACAGTCGGCGCTCACTTCCCTCCCCTACGCTCCAGCTTGTGGACAGTCTCTTGGCGTCCTCATGTATAATGCAGGGATCTGGACTCTGAATTAGACGTGATGTCAGTGGTCCTCCACCACCAGGGACGTACATTCAAGGGAGGCAGGTGAGTATAATGAAGAATGAAGGTGTTGGCTTCAAGTCTGAAGCTGACAGCTTTTTCTCCATTCAGACCGGCTTGTAACAGGTTACACAGCAGGGAAAGCCTCCCCGTGGTGTAACCTGTCATGCACGGAGCGCTGCCTTTTAGCGCTACATCTGGCTTTTGACAGGTAGTTGGGTTACACAGCAGCAGTCTTCCCCACTGCTTGTGTAACCTAACTTGGTGAGGCCTGAGCTGTCACAGCCTCTACTCTGTGTTAGAGGCGTGAGCTCTGTGGATGGCTTGGACCAATGGCAAACCACTATAGTTAGTCTGCAGTTTTTGAAGATTTCCTCTATTCCTGACCGATTAAACAGTTTAGATTTTAGTTCCTCAATTTTACAGCTTGTTTTGTACCCTCTAAGTGGATACAAATGTCAACTAGAGAATAATTTTTTTTTTCTAAATTTACAATGTTATTTCCTGTGTAGACGGTGTAAAAACTGGCAGATGTTAGCTTTTCTATCTTTAGTAAAATGACAGCTGGTTGGGAAGGTACTATTGCAGGTAAGTACTCTTTTCATGTCAGTGTTTCCTGTGCACTTAATGGATTTCAAACACAGACACAATCATCAGCTATCTTCTTTAAACTACAGAGCACTTTCTCCCTATGCAATAGAGAAAAGAAGGTATTTGTATTCCAAATCAGGATAGTGGCTTAAAGGAGAACTATTAGGTGAGTGAAAATCACTCACTCTCATAGTTTGAGCCGACGTGTGACAATGAAACTGTCACACATCGGCTCATTAGATCGGGAAGTGAGCAAACGCACGCCGTCGCTCGCTCACTTCTGGATCATCTCCCTGCAGAGAACAGTGACTGTCAGATTCCCCCCTCCCCGCTCCGATCCTCCAGCGCTGACTGGAGGAAGGGACTGATGAGGGCCGGGCACAGCTGGCTCTGCCTCTAGATAGGCAGATCCCGCTGTCACTGACGCAGCTGGGTGGATCTCGACAGTATTGTCGGGATCCGTCCTGGCTGCGGCGTCTCAGTATACCGCGAGCTGTAGCTCGCTATATATTGAGCTTTGGGTCACGGGAGGACGCTAGTTTATGTCCTCCCGTGACCCTTAGGAGAACTATGGGAAAAAACACCCCATAGTTCTCTTGTAAGTTGGCCATACACAATGCAAATTTCTGTCGCTTCTTGAACTGGCCTGAAATTCGCACAGTGGGTGCCGCTGCCAGCACCCTTTCAGCGAGCATAAGCTGGTTAAAGGAGACGGTCGGAAAATCTTTGAATGTTCGGGTATTCCGACAGGAAATTCCTCGATCAGACCTTCTGCTCCTGCATAGATAAAGTACGGCGAGTGTGGTCATTCTAGGAAAGGAAGAGTGTTATTAGCAGGATCACCAGGTGAAAATACAGCAGCAAAAAAGAAGCATGTAAAAAGAAAACCAATGCAGTCAACACATCTAAGAATTGGTAAGCTGCAAAATATTAGTTTTGTTTTTGAGTTTATATGTATGCTTTAAACAGCCTATAGTGCCTTGTAATCATCAGCTTTCTCCTTTCACTTTCAGAATGACATTTGGAAGCTGCGGTGCTGTATAGCAACAATGCTTCTATTTCAAATGCATAAGACCTAGCAGCTCTAGAAACAAAAACTGGTGATACAGACCCAGCCATTGGGCCCGGTGCTTGGTAGCCTATGGGTGTGGGTACAGTGCCTTTCTTGACTAGTTTTCTGTCAAGGATAGTGGTCAAATGAACAGTCAAGACAAACTCTTACCGGTCTACTCACAGGAGGGTGAAGAGTTTGGAGAAGGCAGGAGAAGTGAACAATCCAGGATAAAATAGCTGATTTTGAAAAATTCTCCAATTCAGCTCACTTTCCGGTTCAGCTATGTTGTCCTAGATTGTTCACTTCTCCTGCCTTCTCTAAATGCTTCACTCTTTTGTGAATAACCTTGTAAATCTACATCCTATTTTAGCACTTCAGAGGTCAGGGGTTGTATTCTGTAATAGCCACGTAGCAATGGTACCTAATATACAGGTTTTTTTTGCCACACTTCTATTGAAAGTGTTGTGATAGTGGTTAGAAACAGAATACAGATGCAGTGAAAACCTATAGAATTGTATATGTAGCTGCAGGTTGTAAAACTTTTATTTTTAATCATTTCTTTGGTGAACAGATTAAGCTATAAAATGATTGTGCTGAAGCTAGCCAAATATCTTGGAAAACTAGTTATATAAGGGCCTAAGGTTATATGCCGTGACCTGTGTTTTCTTCCCGCAGAAAAACGCAGATCACTGCAAGAAAAACGCAGATCACTGCAAGGGCACATGTAGAACAATTGTTTCCTATGTGCCCTGTTCACACCAACACAGGTCACCACAGCACACCTCACTGCTGAACAAAGATCTGAATGGAGTATACACTTTTATACACTCAAAATAAACCGTGTGATGTGCTGAAACAGCCCATCACACTGTCCCCTGCTGGATCAAACACAGACACCAACCTTCCTCCGGTTCTAACAGACACCAAGCCGCACGCTAAAACACAACCTTCCTCCAGAGCTAACGCATACACCAACCTGCACGCTAAAAGACAACCTTCCTCCAGAGCCAACGCAAACACCAACCTGCACGCTAAAAGACAACCTTCCTCCAGAGCTAACGCAAACACCAACCCGCACGCTAAAACACAACCTTCCTCCGCAGCTAACACCAACCCGCACGCTAAAACACTGCCCCCTCCGCCAAACCTCACATAGACACTAGCTCACTCGCTAAAACTCAGCAGTTTATCATGCCGGCTCAGTGTAAACAAGCCCTTACACAAGAATTTGAATACGCAGTCTTGCCATACAACTGTGGAGATTTCTACTTTATTTAGCTTTACTTCTTTTAATCTGATTTGTAAGCTTGTGAGTCAGGAATCGCGTTACTTTAAGGCTGGTTTCACACCTAGGCGTGTTGAATATGCTCGTTGTGCGTTTTTACCGTGATTCGCGGTAAAAAAAAAACGCGCGACAGACGCGCGTTTCCGCGGGCTACTTGGCTGTATCCCAATGGAAACACGAGACCAAAACTCCCCAAAGAAGTACATGTACTTCTTTGGGCGTAGGCCGTTTTGTATCGCGTTCGGATGGGCGGAAATACGGCAAGGTGTGAACCAGACCCATTGAATACAATGGAATTTGGATGTTTGAGCGTTTTGTAGAGCGTTCGTCGAGCGTTGAACGCGCTACAAAAATTGAATAGTATGTTATTGCAGTGAAGATAATTTATCATCTGAATATTCAGATTCTTAAATACACAATACAGTTATGACTAGTTCTCCTTCTCTAATAAGGTGTTAATAAAGCATTTGATATTTGTAAATGATACGGTGGGTTTGAGAATAGCGTGTAAGGATCAGGATATCTAGGGATGCCCCTGCAAGTTCTTGAAGCATTTTTATTGCCTGCGGTGATTGTGAGACATGTTGGAAAATTTCTGAGTCATAAGTGGACTGGAAATAAATATTTATACTTCAGGTAAATGCCGAGTGAGCTGACAAAATCATGCTGGGTTCTGGCAGATGAAGGGGGTTTCCTGTATGCGGCCATACATTGGTGGCCTGTGGCTTTTCTTTCCAGCACGCTCATGACTTGATTGACAACCTTTATGGTGGTAGTGACAACTTGAATTTGGAGAGTTAAGCTGGCCATACACTGCTCAATTTTCAGCTGAGTTCTGCTAACTCGGTGCAATTTAAGCAATATGTGGCCCAGTCGGCACCGATCCGTTTGACAAAAAAAAAACGATTTTTCGTTTATGAAGGAGCCAGTCTGAATGACCTTTTTTATACCAGTGTGGGGGTGTCTCCCCATTACATGTTGTTTAGTGTGGATGGGGTAATCAATTTCCCCTGCTGGCCAGAGAAGGAGAAAAGAAAGTATGTGGCCAGCCTAAAGCTGGGTACACACAGAGCAAGTTTTGGACAAAATTCGATCCGTTGGTGACCCTATTCCCTGGACAGAAGTTGATAATTAGATGGTCTCTTGCTGAAGGAACATGTTGGAAAATCGTAGGCAGAAAGATGTTCAGGTATTACGACAGTGGCCGATGCCTCTGTCAGAATGTGCACTGTAGGAGGTTCATTCACTCAGTTTCGTGTGGATGGAGGAATCTTTCCCTTTTTCTTTAAATATAACCGTGTGTGGCCAGCTTTAGTCTTTTCCGGGCAAATATGTCACTGTCCAGGTTATCTTTTGGTGTCCCATCTTCATGCTACAATGCCCAATGACTGTCTGTATGAGAAGCTGGTCAGTTTGAGAAGCTGGTCCACGGGCATCGGTTTATGGGCATATACTTGTCACAACACTTCTTAAAACTCAACCTTTCAAAAACTGAGCTCATGATATTTCCTCCTACCCGTGCACCTTCCCCAAACTTTTCTCTTGAGATTGTTAACACAACTATCCAACCCTCCTCCCATGCCAAGGTCCTAGGTGTCATCCTTGACTCGCTCCTCACCTTTCTTCCCCACATCCAATCACTATCCAAATTCTGCCGCCTTCACCTTCATAACATCTCCAAAATACGCCCCTTCCTCACCAATGAAACTGCAAAATTACTCATCCACTCCCTTGTTATCTCTTGTCTTGACTATTGCAACTCCCTCCCCATTGGCTTACCTCTACACAGGATAGCTCAGTGTCTGCAACCCCACTCTGTTAATCCCTGCACTGGCTTCCACTCGCCCAAAGGATAAAATTCAAAATATTAACAATCACTTACAAAGCCATTCACTAGAGTAGCCCCCGGCTATAGCTCAAACCTTGTCTCAAAGTATCACCCTAGCCGTCCCCTCCGCTCTTCAAATGACCTGCTTTCCAGCTCCCTTGTCAACTCCTCCCATGCTCGCCTCCAGGACTTCACTAGAGCCTCTCCCATCCTATGGAACTCTCTACCCCAACCTGTCTTGTCTATCTCCCAATCTGACTGTCTTTAGGCGATCCCTTAAGACTCATCTCTTCAGGGAAGCCTATTCCACCTCAACCTAACCACTCAATCATCACATTCTCAAACAATTCATCCCCACACAGCTACCACCTCATGTATCACTTCCACCACCCTTTAGATTGTAAGCCCTCAGGGGCAGGGCCCTCCTTACCATCTTGTCTTGAACTGTATTGTAATTGTAATGTCTTCCTTATATTGTAAAGCGCTGCACAAACTGTTGGCGCTATATAAATCCTATATAATAATGTGGGTATGGCTATGGAAATGTGTGCGCCTTCAGGCACATACCGTATTCTGCACCTTCCCAAACAGGCTCAGCTTCAGAGAAAATTTATTTTCTCAAGAACTCATTAGCGTCAGTGATTCTCCCTGCACAAATACACAATACAGTCATCATACTAATGCATATAAACCTTTATTGGGAGAAAAAATGCTCTGTAGCCTTCACTAGGTTTTTCTGTTTTGTTCAGTCTACTTATTGGCTGATACATGAAAATTGGGTCAGCTGTTTGCAATATCTGTGGGGGAAGAAAAGCTTTAAGGATGCCGTACTTCAATGACCGAACCTGTGCACCAACTGCATCCATCTGATTAGTGGGTGTCTGGAAAGAGAGACCAGAGCGGTTTGTCGCCTGCTTCTCTTTGTAGGAGTTCACCTCTGAAAACGGCATTCTGCAAATCCTTTATTATTGGATTTACTGTTGGAATAAAAGTACAGACCCATAGGGCCCATTCACACCAGACGCTGCGCTTAACTGCACAGCGTCTGGTGTGTGTTGCCCCAGCACAGTGTCAAAGCGCTGATCTCAGTGCATCAGGCCTTGTTCACACCACATGCAGAGCAGATCCGGTCAGGTTTCTGCACACGCACTTTAGTCTTTTTGATGCGTTCCGGGCTCTTTTTGGTAAAAAAAAAATGTAAATTTTTTTTTTTTAAGTTTAAAATGTGCTTTCAGTGCATTCCAGGCATTGGCATGTGTTTTTGATGCGTTCCAGAGCAGTTAAAATAGGGCCTGCTGCAGTTTTTTCACCTGCTCTGGATCTGCTCTGCAACTGCACGCTGCGATGTGAACTGGAGCAAAAAATACCATTGGAATACATTGGACGCAGTTTTGATCCGGTCTGCACCTGCTCTGCTCTGGATCTGCTCCGCGCTTGGTGTGAACAAGCCCTCACACTGTGTTATTTTTCTACGACTTGGCAGGTGACATTTCATTCAGCTCTATGGGCACAGTAGGGTTTCCAAGCGGTTTCTACAGCGTCGCATCCCGCTGTGCTAAAAATAACAGTATGTCATACTTTTTTTGCAGCGCACACCACCTCGTTACTACTGCAATTCGGTGGTGTGAACTGATCCTGTCCGTGACCATGCAAATTGCCTTGTCTTGCGTTGGGGCTGTGCTGGAAATAATGGCCAGCGTAGCCCCAACGCATCTGGTGTGAAGCGGCCCATAGAGCAGTTTACTGATAAGCTCTTTATTTAAAGATTAAAGTATTCTTGTTTATACATCCAAATATTCCAAGGAATTTGAAGAACATATATTTCTATTTTTGTTTTCACAGGCTGGTTGGAAAGAAAATCATGCTACCTTTATGAACGAGCTGAAAAATCTTCAAGCTGTGGGACTCACTACACTTGGTCAAGCCCTAAGGACAGCCTTTGATTTGTTAAATTTAAATAGATTAGTAACTGGCATAGACAACTATGGACAGGTAGGTTCAAATGTTGAAGGAAACCATTCCCCAAGCTCATTGTTTTTTTTTGTTTGATTTTTTGGAAGTCTTGCTAGAAGATGGCTGTTCTTCTGTTCATTTTTTGTAAGATAACTGGTCACTTCCTTTAATGGGCACATAGGTAGGTATGAAAAGATTGCCTTATATGCATGATGTAGTGGATTAACATTTCAGACGAATGAAGGAGCATGAAGGTAGGTGATGGCTGTTTTTTGACCCATTAGATTGCCCCCAAAGACTTAAAAGTAGGCATATAGAGGTCCATTCATATACCCATTATCCTTGGTGCCCCAAGAACCTTCAATTTCAGGAAGCTTAATATGCAAATATCAGTGCTTTGTTTCAGAGTCTGAGCTCTTTGGCAATCCCATTCCCTGCAATATCTGCTTCTCCATTGGTCAGAAGTGCACACTGCATTTTGGGGGTAGGGGGTTTTTTAGCGCTGTCTGCCGAGCTGTAAGCTGCCATTTACATATTAAGCGCTCTGTTTTCAGGGGCTCCAGGCTGTGCAGAAGGATCAACCGAAGATATCTTCCAGCAATTCTTGGAACTATCTCTTAGGTCCTTAGATTACCTTTAAATGAAATCCATAAAAGCTGGACGAAGGATAGAAACATGGGAGCTGCTGCTGCTGACTAGTTGACTTCTTGTTCTAGGGCCATCATCCTCATCTTGGCTTCACAAGCTAGTGAGTCTCTTCCCTTGAACAAACCTGGAGCTAGTGATGCCGGAACTCCCAACCTGCTTTTATTTCCTAGTTTAGCAGCTTAATAGATGGTGAATCTAAGATCAGGATGATGGTTCTGAAACCTGCACCTGCTGCTTGCTGGCAGGACTGTGTTCTCACTCCAACCAAACGGGCATATAATAAAGGAAGAATCCGGCCGCAATTCATTCCATGCTGAGTCAGTTTATTGAATGTTTGTCCTGCTGGAGGTCTGCCCCCTCTGACATGTTTCACCCAATCCTGGGCTTAGTCATAGACCCACTCCTGGGCTTAGTGTATGACTATGCCCAGGATTGGATGAAATGGGGCAGACAGGGCAGACCTCGAGCAGGACGAACATTCAATAAACTGATTCAGCGTGGAACGGAGTGCGGCCAGATCCTTCCTTTACTATATACCTATGGACAGCATTATGACCTACCTCCTACTGTGCTGTCCTCCAACAGACACTGGTCCAGAACTCTGTCACTGCTTTGCCCCCATCCACTGACACTTTCCAGGTTCATTGCTCACTTAAGTTCAAGTTTACAGGGGTAGTGTATGTATAACTAAAACTTTTCTTGTGAAAGTAGTGAAGAGTTGAAATCACTTCCTGCCCTAGGGACATAACCTGAAGTTAGAGGAAAGGATTCCCCTCTTAGGCAGTTGTCCCCATTGGAAGATTTACCCTCCCCTCCACTATTACTGGTTTGTAACAAATGGAATTCTAAATCTTCAACTTACCTGAACTTCTACCTGGCTGGTTTCACACCATGAGTGTTGCATTTATTGCACCATTGACCCATTTAAAATGCACTTAAAGTGACAAACTCAGGAATTAAATGTAAAAAATACATTTCAAGCTCCTTAACTATTAACATAAATGTATCTTACTTGTGTATTACTCATCTGTAGATCCTCCAATCATCTCTGGATTGGTGCTGACACTGTCCTTCCTTCTGTAGGATGGCTTCTTTTGTTCCCCATGATCCCTGTGTGTGTGTTGTACTTTAAAACGCATGTCTAAACACATGATAAATAAAGACGTACATTTTGCATAAAAAAACAAACACCATACTTCCCAAACAGGTCTACCTGCTTTGTTAATGTGACACAAGCCACTTCTTTCCTGATGTTTTCATCTGTCCCTCCAGCGGTGCGGCGGCTCTCCGATCCAGTGCTGACTCCTCTGTGCTTGCAGGCACTTCCGATCCCGCGGTGTCTGCATGCGGGTGCACGCGTCCATAGACTTACCTTGCGTCTCTGCATTTTTCCCGGCCGAAAATCCGAACTGCCCATGCGCCCTTCCTCAAGATGCTTTGTGGCCGTCTGAGCAGTTTTGGATTTTCGGGCGGGAGTGCGCGGGGATTACGGGGGAAGTTTAAACCCGCTGTTAGAGCTTTTTAAAAAAAACTTTTTGCCTATACTGCTTGCTAGCAGTAGATATAGGCAAAAAAACCAGAGGGTTTAGAACCCATTAAAGAGTAGGGATGTCCAGATACCAGTGCCGATACTTGGCATTTTCATGAGAACTACCAGGGTTGCTGCAGCTGGGACCGGGCTCTGGCGCTCCACCACTGTCCTGAAATGATTAGTCTGTATTGTTTTAGAAAAACTGTCACATGACAAACAAATGTATCAGTACTTGTATCTTTCAGTACTTGGACAAGTATCAGTACTTGTAAAAATGGTATTGCTGCATTTCTTATATATATTTATAAAAAAAATAATAATCATACATTAAATTGGGGATGCACAAATCCCAGGAGCTCCATATGCTCCTTAACAATGACAGCTGCCTCCTAACTTTGGAGTTTTTCTCTAGTCTTGGAGCTGGGAAAGCATCTGTACATGTACTTGTACCGAGTACGGTACTTGGTATCTGAACATCCTTACTAAAGAGATTGTAGTCCATCACAGGAGTGAGCTTGAAGCCGTGACTACTTTGTAACACACGGACCATGGGCAACAAAGGTAGCCACCCTCCAGAAGGAAGGACAGTGTCAGCACCAATTCAGAGATGATTTGAAGCTCTACAGCCGAGTGATACACAAATAAGATACTTTTTTGTTCATAGTTAAGGTACTTGAATGTATTTTTAAGATTTACCGTATTTTTCGCTCCATAAGACGCACTTTTTTTCCCCCCCCCAAAAGACGGGCAAAAATGTCTGTGCGAATGTGAGAGAGCTGAGGCGGCGGGGCTGACAGTGTACCCAGGGGTGTGGAATTCCTATCGCCCGACGCCCAGGACATGCAGTTTCGGGCAGTGGGCGAGTAGTTTTTTTGTACATTTAGCCCTGCTCCGGACAAGCAGAGCTAAATGTATAGTGTGGAGCCGCCGCTCGTTTTCATACAAGTGATCTGATTAGATCACTTGTATGAAAGGAGCAGCGACGATCCTGTCTGTCCCCCACGCGGCGGTTTTTCAGGGTCCCCCGCTCCTCTGTGGGACCCGTGACCACAGCATAGGAGCTCACCATAGATCCTGTAGAGCAGACGTAGAACGTCTGCTCTTCGTCTGCTCTGTGTGATTACTGAGACTGTGGCACTGTAATCACAGCGTCACCTGTCTCAGCTGTCAGGAACTACACAGGAACCTACCCTCCCTAGGTGCGTCTTATGGTCAGGTGCGCCTTATGGAGTGAAAAATATGGTGATGCCCGAGTTTAGTGTCACTTTAGAGTAATTTGCACATCAATGCAGCACATTGGCGTAAACGGGTCCTATTGGAAACATTGGATTTTAGCTCATCATTGCATCAAGCCTGGATTAAACAACGCTGTCCAATGGACGTGGTATGTATGGGCCCTTAAATTGTATATGATAACCGCTTTTGGAGACCTTGGACTATCATATTAGTGCAAAGGAGGTATGGTAACTGCAGAACAATTAGCTGGAAAAATACATTATAGATTTTGTATTTACAAACTTCCACGGCATACATCAATATTTAAGCAGACTTTACCTAATGAAGCAATATTCCGAAATTGAATTTGTAGAGCATTGCTATGAAGAAAAAAAATGCCTATTAATTTTGGTTTAGTGTTGTTCTTCTGTGCAATCCTTATACATAATGTGTCCAATCCCTCTCCCAGTTTAGCTAGTTTTACCACGGGTATATCACAGACAAATTTAGGGTTAAAAAAGAATGTTTAGGTTAGTGCAGGACAATGTGTGATCAGTTACACATTTATTTCCTGTCAGAACCTCAGCTAAGGGTTAATGTTTCCTTGCCCTCAACTAAGATGGCTGATTCATTACTTCCTGTTAGACAGTGACTCATCTATAATCTTATTAACTGGAACTTGTCGTCTGTAATTTCTCGTAACAGCGTTTTTTTATGGACAAGCACACATTGAACTCCCGGTGGATTTCTTTCCCTAACTTTTGTAACTCTGTAGCCTTATACGTTGTGCATAGTTTACATTTTAATATCTGTTAGATGAGCATTGTATGTCCGGATTGTCATGGATCCAGTGTGCTGTAGATTTGCATATAATTACAACACCACGCAATTTTTTAAGTTGTATAACCGTAAAATTCAGATTACCCTTCTTTATAATTTCTAATAACTTGCAGATTTCTGGATGGAACTTCCCATTGCTTTACAAAACCTGGAATTTAGTGGCATTTTGTTCCCACTAAGCATAATCTGAAGTGCTGTTTGTTCTAGTGATCAGCTGTTTTAAACTCAAGGCGCCTTATCACGTTTGACCAGTGCCATGTACTTCCGTCAGATTACTCGATAAATCAGCTGCATGTAGGAAAATCTCTCCTGAGAGGGCAAGACGTTGGCTAGCTCATGTGTTTGCTGCATGCGTCAACGCATATAATGCGTAGATGTAAGTTGACCCAAGATGAATCTGCAGTGACTTTTTTCAACTCTAAATGAAGTAAAATCTTGCAGTGTACTTTTTGTTGTCTTGAACATACTTGGGTAAATGCAAGTTCATGCTTTTCCTGCAGTTTCATGTGTTCATCAGGGAAGAGGCTGTAGGAGTTTACTAAAGGAGTCGGACCCCAAATATGATCTCAAAATCTGTGAATAACATCACAATGGTCATTTGTTTGATCACTAACTAGTGGAGGGCTTCTGATGCCATTGTAAGAACATTATTTTTAAAATCTTACAACTGTAATGGTGACGTTTCTAGATGACTTCTATCTGTCCCAGTGGCTCACTGGAAATTAGGGTCAGTTTTATGTTTTAACGTTTAGTTTGTATTTTCTAACTTAGGGGTGGGCAAACGCCAGCCTTCCAGCTGTGGTGA